GCATTCCTGGGGGGCTTATCACTCCTGCTACTCTAGCTGCTGGTTCTGGGTCAGAGTTAATAGTAACTTGCTAGTTATAAATTTGGTTTGAAACATTTGTATCTTGTGTACTTTCTACCTGGGCAGGGGCCCTTAATCTAATTCATGAGGCATATCTGACACCAGCATGCCTTCAGGAGGCTCTGCATATGGCCTGTGATTACATTTATCTAAGTAACCAAAACCCCTCCCTCTTTAGACTTCTCCTAGTCTAAAGATTGGGGTTAATGAAGTGGAAACCATCAAAAACACTTCAGCTTAATCCTAGGGGAAAAGTTGATGTGGCGTGACAGAAACCCGGGATTATTGCCCTCATTAAAAGGTAATTTACAGCTGGCAGGGATTCTGTTTTAGCTTCTTGAGGGTCTGACAGTCGGCCACCTGTTACTCTTTGGCCCAGGAGCAGGACAGGAGCTGGTGGGGAGCCCCGAGGCAGCCAGGCTGGAGGCACAACACTTACCCTCTGGTCAGAACAGCTCCGTTCTCTGAGCCCAGAGCTGCTGCCTCCAGGACGGCGGGAGCTTTCACCGAGATCCGGGCCACCGGAGGCATCTAGGTTGTGAGAAGGGGGTGTGAGGATGGCGCCATGTCCCCAACTCTGGCAGTGGCTGGAGCCACTGGAAAGGGCATCAGCTAAACTGAACTACCATCAACCCAGGGCAATGGTCCTCATACTGCCGCGGGCACCAGGCGCCCCTGGGAGGACTTGTTAACGCAATGCTGGGCCCACCCCAGCTTCTGATTCAGTAGGTCTCATGTAGGCCCGAGAATCTGCATTTCTAACAAGTTCCCAAGTGCTCTAGTCCCAGGACCCCACTTTGAGAACCACCTACCTAGAGAAACTTGAAAGCAAGCAACTCAATCTTGCGAGGCCTCTGTCCCCCTTGCACCCCTATGGTCTGTGTCCACTTTGTTGTCAAATCCTGCAGGTTCTGCAAGATCAGTGTCACCCTCTCCCTTTTCTCTGCTGCAGCCTCAGGACCAGTCACTTGGGACAGGACCTCCTTTTTTCCCACAAGACCCGCCACGCACCCTGGGCCCCTCCTGGATTCACTCACCCAGCTTTTCCTTCATTCTCTGGATCAAGCCTCATCTCTGCCTACCCTTCAAAGACCACTTCCTCCAAGAAGCCTCCCCTCAGGCTGGTGCCCCAGCTGATTTCTCTCTGTCTCCTGCATCCCCACAGCACTGAGTCCTTATGTGACATGTTTTGGCATCCCACCAATTCTCTCTTTACGGTTGTCTACTTGTTTCTTATGCCGGTGCAGTCTCCCCAGGAATGGCATGCATACGACAGGGTCTGGGGCTTACCCTTTGGCGGCCCTCCTCAGCTCTCCTTAAAGGAGGTGGTGAGTGCTCAAGAAACATGTACCGAATTGAAAAGTCACTGGTAGCCCAAGCAGGGCTAGGTCCCGAGTTTGTTCAGTCAGTGGACCTCTGCTTTGCACCTCCACCCCACGCCCCAGGGAAGGCTTAAGATCACCACATTCCTAAAATTGCTGGAAAATTCCAGGTTGAGGACACCAGGAGTCACTGCCCCTTCTCTCCCGCACGGGCCAAAGGTTGTGGAGAGAGTCACTGTGCCACCTTGTGGCCTCTCGGGAGCTGTCCCTCCCCATCGTGCCAGCAGCCCAGAAACATGCTCCTTCCCGGGCTGTCCACCATCCTGTTTGCCCCAGCGCATGTTAGTGTCAAATCAGGTTTAGCTGTTCGAGCTCTGAATTGCTCTCCGCCCTGGGATGGGGGCTCCAATGAGCTGCAGGACCCCAGCCCTACCATCTCAGACCCAGAGGAAAGGGTCAGTCATGCTGCCGCTCTGTCCTCTGCACTACTGTCACCCCCTCCTTTGTGACCACCTACCCATCCTACCCTGTCCCATCCCACCTCGCTCTGGCCTCCCGGCTGCAGCTTCCTCTCTGCCAAGGGCACTGAGTCCAGCCCGGGGGCTGGGGGCAAGTAATCCAAGGCAGTGAGCTGCCCTCTCCCCTTAGCCTTGGGCTCAGCTGAGGGCAGCAGTTTGAGCTGTCACAGCCTGACCACCTTCACTCTGTGGTAACGGCCCAACCATCCTCAGTTTCCCCTGGGTCCCAGGTTGGGACAGGGGGCCCCTGATTGTCCCATCCCTGCCCTTTGTGTGGTTTTCCTAGTACAGGGATGACCTAAATGAAATAATTGGCTTCGACTTCCTGCCCAGACCAGGAGCAAAGCGCTCGCGTCTCTGGCCAGTTTGTTCCATAAGGACGAGCGGGTGACTCAGACACTCTCTCCAGTCTGTTCTAGTTCCGTGAATCTCGAGAGCTGATGCCCGCAGAGCCCAGGATGCCCGAGCTGACCTCACCTCCAGCCAGCACTCCACCCCTTCTGTGCTAACCCAGGGGACACCCACATTCATGCCCAGAGGATGATGAAGGAGGTGTATTTTTTCAGGGTGATGCTGAGCTAGACCCGACATGCACTACCCAATCCCCCTTCAGGGAAGGACAAGCCACCTTGTCCTCCCCCTGGGGGAGGGCGGGGAGCAGGTGGCCCTCAGCTCCTTCAGGTGTCCTTGGCTACAGAGGGCCACCTTGCCCAAGGTCATGCCCTCCTGGGCAGCCTGCATGCCATGAAAGAGCGGGAAGAAAATATAAAGGATCGGTCAGCTGGGTCCAACTCGGGCAACCCAGATGGACAATCCTTGTCCCAGAGCTCCCAGTGGGAGTTGGCTCAGCAGTTCTCTCTGAGGTGATGGTGTTTTGTGTTTTCACAGTGCTCGAGACCCTTGCATCTCTTTACCCCCATAGCTGCCCCTGGGAATTGGTCAGACACCTCCACCTGGCAGGGGCCTGCCGCAGACACTGCTTCTTTCCCCCCTGTTTGAGATGTCCACTACGTAATACCTTCTGTTTACCTAAGAGCTAAATTTCTGGCAAGAAAGAGAGAGGCGGCCAGTGGTGTGCCACCAGCTGGTAGGCTTTAGGAGCAAAGAACCCTCAGCTACACTTTTCTAATAATCCTTAGGCCTGGAACAAAGGACGCTTTGTCTTCATGGCACAGACAGGACAAGAAGGTTAAAGCACAGCAGATACAGCTAACCAGGTTGATTTTACTTACCAAAGTTTTGCTGTATGCTCGATTCCCACACAGATTTGCTGATTTGGGTTCAGAAATCCCCACTGCAAAGTTGAACGGAGGGGACGTTACTCAGTGGTACTCTGGGTTCCAGCTCCCCCGGGTTCTGCATCAATTATCCCTTAGCTAATCAATCACAAGCCAGGAATATACTAACGGCCTTTGTACTGAGCAGCAAAATCACGCACTATGGTCGGGCAATGGGACAACTGTCCAGTGGGTCACCTGCACCCCTGGCGCTCTTGGGGAGGTTAGAACTAAGGTCTAATAAGATCACGTGTGTGGAGGTGTTCAGTACGGGGTCTGCCTGCAGTAGGGGACTCAGAGAATGTGCCCTTAGCTCCTCCTTTCTTCCTAAGGCGCCAGATCACAGGAGGTTATCAGGAGTTAAGTCTTTATAGCTGGGATCAGTCCTTTAACCTGCTGCTCCTGGACACGCCTCTGTGAAAATGAGCCCAAAGTCCTGCCTGCTGTGGGAAGTAAGCCTCATAATGTGGGAGGATTGGAGGTTATCAGAGTCCTGAGGCACTGGCATGAGAGGTATGTGAGAACCTTCTTTCTATGCCTTTATTTGAGGCTCGACCCACTGCTGGGAATCCAGATGTTGAGCTGAGGTAGCTGGTGATGGGCGGGGGTGGGGTGGAGTGGGGCTCCACTGAAGGCTGGCCTTCAGTCGAGTCCCTCCTGGGGCAGATGTTCCTGGAGGAGCCCCATGCTATCAGACTACAGCGTAGAGAAATACCAGCCCCCCACCCCGAGGAAAACATCTCAAGGCCAATAAAATGAAGTTACAGGCTATCAAGATCAGACCACGGTGTGCCGTGCTCTGGCGTACGTGACGATAGTAGCTCATCTTTTTGAGCATTTACTGTGTCAGTCGCTGTGCTGAGTGTAAGACTCATAAACATTGTCTCATTTAATCCTCACCACAACCCTCACAGGTAGACATCATAATAGATGAGGAAACAGAGGCTTTAGAGATGCACAGCAATTACGATGAAGCTGGGTGAGGAAGGTCTAGGGAATGGTAAGCTGACCTCTTTGGTGGTCTTGCGAGGCTGGGAAAACTTGACCGAGGGACCCCCTAACCCATTCTGGGAGGAGTTTGCCAGGTGGGGAGACCCAGGGAGGGCAATCCGCAGAGAGAACGTGTCAGGGAAGGTCCAGAATATAACAGAATATAATGAGTCACAATTATACCACAGCTCAGGGCTGCTCTGTGCATGGATTGGCAGGGATAGGAGTGTCACAGGAGGTGGCCCTGGAGAGGTGAGCAGAGGACTGGGTCCTGGAGAAGCTTGGGCATGGTCTGGAGGGTATCTGGGGGTGGAGAGGACACAGTGTTTAAAGCAGAGGGATGGCAGAGGCAGATGCTGCTTTAGGCTGCCCTTTGGTAGCCTGTGGAGCAAGAAGGACTGGTAGCTGACGACCAGGCTTGGCGGCTACACACAAGGGATGAAGGGAGTCTGACTCGGTAGCCTGAGATTGGTACCAAGGAGAGATGAGACATACGGAGGAACTGACACTGTCAGTGGTTAGTGTGTGGAGCGGGGGTGGGGAGGACAAGGGGGTATTGGGATAAACATCCCAGCGGCTTGCTGGAAAGATGGATAGTGGCACCAGCTGAGAAAGCAAGAGAGGTTTGAAGGTGGAAGACGAATTCCATTTGAACAAGTTGATTCTGAGATGTCCCAAGGACATCTTGGTGGAGACATTCCACCGGCCCAGGAGGTGGGTGTCCCCTTTTCCGGGCCCTTGAGGTTCACCTG